GTTTGGTTTATAAAAGCTTTTTCCAGCGTATATCGCAACATCCAGGTGAATTGCCCTCTCCGGGGCTAAAAATACACACTCACCAAATTAGACTGAGGGCTAGCTGCTGTGGCTAACGCTAGCTAGCTGAGGCAGCTGCCAGGCTCAGTAACAGTAGCTCTTCTAGTCTGGGTAAGTGGCTTCTTCCTGGTGTGGCTTTAATGAACGAGAAATGAAACATAAACTATGTGATTTTACAACTAAACAGATTGTAGTTCCATTCCGCACAGTCCGGTAGTGCATGACTATGTCTAATTTGCAAAATATAGCACTATTCAGCCACAAGTTAATTTAAAGGTTATATAACGTTAACTAACGTCATATGAAAATACTTCCTTTTTAAGTAGGCTACTTCATGTTCGGGATACTTTCTATCTTCATTACATTTCTATAACTACTACACTGACTAGTAGATACTGCTTTTTCATTAGATGTCATAGGGTTCACTTGTATTGTTTTGGTAACCAAATGTTTTAACTTTCATTCTGTAGTTAAGTACACTTTCGAAGTTTACCATTACTTCTACTCTACTACAGTTTGTGGGCAATAATCTACGTTTGTACCCTCCTAAATGTATCTGACAGCTTAAGTTACACATTTTACACCACAATAAAACGTGATATTATCATGGGTTAAGGTAAGCCTAATATAAAGGCATATTGGTACTTAAAATATAATTTTTGATGATACTATAATACTTAATAATACTTGTGTGCCTTGTACCTGAGCATGTTTACACTGTAGTAGTCACTTTTACGTGAATACAGTCTTTTACCTCTTTTTACTAATTAGAGTATTAATTGGTAATGCTATGCAATTTATTCTAATCAACTTTACTTCACTTTTTGAAAACATCAATTATATATATATTTTTAAAGGCTTGTACAATGAAGGGTACGTTTGCATTATTGTATTGCTACATGCATGATATATCACTCAGGAAATATTATTGTAGATTTACAGAAAATATGTTCTCAGTGTAAAGGATTTTGACTTACTTTCGTGTGTTAATAGATTACAGTGATAAATGGACATGATGAAATAAGGCTACATTTTGTATTCTGTCACATAAAGACACGATCATAATACTCACTTAATGTAACTGCAAGAAGCTGGATTCATTTGGAATGATAAACTGTCATTAGTTACTGTAATCACAATTTGTCCATCATACATCCAATGCATAAAGTATGTGCAAGTGTAATGTTGCATGATTTCCTTCAGGAACCGTTACGGCAGAAGAATGGCTGAAGCAGTTGCAAATGTGGCCCGGAGGGTTAATGCAATCGTTGAGGATGGCGGCGATACATTGGGTAAGACTCCTAACATATCTCTTTCTCTCAATCAGTCTTTATGCTGGTTAAATGAACAGCTTTGATTCCCAATTTGAGTGGATGCCTATTTTGGATTTTCACCAGCAGGTGGTGACAGAGGTTTAGATTCTTCTGCTTCAAAAACGTTGAACCCCATAGTGTGTGTAAATTATAGATTGTTACCATCCTCCTGCTGTGTAAATGTGTCGTACTCTCACAATCATCTTCTTCTTCTCTGCAGACCTGTCAAACTGCAAGCTCATTACATTCCCCGATGGTGTGTTCAGGGTCCTGAAGAGCGTCTCAGACAACGTCCGCGTTGTCTTACTGGCTGAAAATGAGATGAAGTCCATTTCCAGCAAGTTATTTTTAAACTTCACACAACTGAGAGGTAATGGATATACACTCCAACTATTTCATGATTCAATTTACTAGAAAAGATTGTATATTTTCATGGGTGACGGGTGGGGGTACATTTTGCTTCTTAGATTCTGGATCTATTCACAACTTCCAGAAAATGATTTCTAAAAGCTTTATAGACATTGCTACGGTTAGGCAGTTATCCTACGAATAAAGTTAAAGTTGTTATGAATTTTCAAACCATTTTGCAGTGTTATTTTGTGTAACTTTTTTTTTTTTATGTAGCAACTTTTTTAGGAATAAAGAGGCAGCGAGCCTAAGCTTACCAGTTTTATTTATGTAACAGGAAGCATTCTTGAATTCCTAGAAAGTGTTGTTGTCCAAGCTTAGCAAGAATACATGTTATTGAATAACATTTTGATATAACAATTCACCCCTTAGTTATTTTTTTGGTTAACCTCAGAAATGTTGACTGAGTGTCTTCATTTCGTGACAGGAGATCAGACAAGCAACCCCTTCATTTACTTATCTTGAAATATTTTTGCAGAACTTGACCTGCGAGGAAATCTTATCTCCAAACTGCCCGACGCCTTTTTAGAGATGGAGCATTTGACCAGCATCAATCTGGCTTATAACAGCTTCTCCATCTTCCCTGATAAGCTTACTGAAATAGCCACACTGGAGAGGATTAACCTGGAGGGAAACAGCATCACAGGTAATAGAAATAAATTAAAGCCATGAGTTGTGTAATTATTAAATGGTTTGAGCTTACGTTTTATTTGTGTTTTTGTCCCACAGAAATACCAGTGGAGAAGTTGTCCAACATGCCAGCAATTAAGTGGCTGAACGTCAAGTCAAACCCTTTGGACTCGAACACTCAGTCAGCTCTGCAATCTCTGAACAATGTTGAAACCGAGTCCTAAAATATGTCATAGATCATATTTACTCACCTATGGACTGCATGCTGTGTGCCTTTTAACTTCCTCATTTGGATGCTTTGTTGGGCTTGGGAGATGAAAAACATTATACTTGATGAAATTGATCTGAATATAGCACAATGGGTTCACAGGAAACAAAGGGAGATGTGTGATTAAACATGGCGTCCTCCTTGATTGACCTTTATCAGTGCGACCACACAAAGAAGCCTTTACTTTTTCCTCTGTGAGCTACAAAGACCTGGAGTTGATGTTTGGAGATGAAATCAATCCATATTTATACACCATTTGTCATGTTTACTTCTAAATAAGGACATATTTATTACTTTTTATAGTATAAAAAGGTTTTTTCAATTAAAAATATGCACTGAAAACAGACTGTGATTATAATTGTGCAATTCATGACAGATTCTGAGAATGTTGTTAAATCACAGAAGTGTTCCCTGATTTAAAACTTAATTTTGATCAATCTGGCAGTTGTTTCCTGAAATAAACCACAGTTATTTCCAAAAATAGTAAAAAAAAAAAAAAAAAAGGTAAAAACTGAACAGTACAATATTTATTTGTATGGAACCAACAGTCCAAAACATGATCCACATACAAGGATATAACAATGTATACGATAGATTGATTGATACTTTAATACAAATAATAACAATAATCAAAACAACTCATCACATTTTGTGAAGCTAGTTAGTCTTTTAGAAGAAAAAAAAAAAGGCATACATTTGGCAAAATAACAGCAGGAAAAATAACAATACTTCTATTTCCACTCTTTGTAGAGATATAAAGAAAACAGCAACAACATGCTCATACATTCCTCCCCGTAGTCTCCTTCACAGGGATTTATACTTATAAAACAGAACTAAATCAATTGAAGAGACAATACAAATATTCTGACACTGTTATCAAGTTGTAGGCAGGAGGCAACACAGACTTGATTTAAGGTCAAAGAGAAAGTAGATACAAACTGTGATCAAGCTCTCCATCTTTGAGAGAGGCTACAGGTGACAGACCTGATCCACAGTATTAAAGTATTCTGCTTAGGCTTTTGAAGAATTCCTTAAATAGCAACTCTGTCTAGTCGGGATCACCTTTAATCTGATGTTTGTGCTCGCTGTGTTGAGTGTGTTGTGGCACAAAAGAAAAAGGATACTGGAGGAAGTATAAAGATATTAGAGGGATACAGAAATGAGTACATACAAGACAATTAAATAAACATATTCTAATGCAAGTAGAGGATGACCACTCTTCAAGCCAAGAGAAATATTTAGCAAGGTGGGAGGATTACAGCGTCATGTGACTCCTCTGCTGTGACCTTGTATTGCTCATGTTGCCCTCTGACTGAGCTTTAATCATATGCTACACCAGAGGAGAACTACAGTCCTTTAGTATGGAGTTGTATTATGCTTAAAGCAGGAGGCATCTTCTCTGTGAACTGGATTGTGTGAGTTTTGGTTACACAAATTTATTAAATTGTCTCCAATTATAAGCTATAATTGGAGTAAATACACTATACTTATAGACTATATTCATAATTGATTTAAAAAAAAAAAAAGTAGCTTGAATAAAATTAAATGTAATGCATTATGATTGATTCGAGTATATGTGGTTTCAACACATTAACATAATTAGTAGTTTCTCAGGCCTGGCTGCAATATGATGATTGTGTCAAACTGTACAGACACAATTTAAAAGTGTTAATTACAGCAAAGACTGCAGAGCGTTTAGAATGTTTAAACACATTTCTCATTTACCAAGATCTGTAACAACGGATATGTAAATTACCTCCAATATGTGCACTTTATCTGACGTAAAAAATTGAATTCAACACCAGCAAAATGCCATCCCTCCTGTTTTTTAAGAAGGTAAATATTATATATATAATATTTGTATTATGTTTCTAGAAATAGGCCCACAAGTATGTTATCAAATAGTTACGGGGATACTCCAGAAGCAAGAAGTCACGACGTAGGCACAACACCTAATCTTGCCTTGTTAATTGGTTTACAGCTAGCAGTCAGCTCCATCTGTTTATGTCTGCAAAGAGCTCTCAAGAGCCACAGCTTACAGGAGGGAAATTAAAAACAAATCACTTTACACATAGAAGGTAAAGAAACTTCACATCTAGGCGGCAGAATATATGTGGCAGCCATGGAGAAGTGCTAACAAATAAGGATTAGCTGCTGATTGTTCCGAGTAATTCTCTCCGCTGTTTGTTCACGCTTGTTAGCAACAGATGCCAATAATGGATGTGATAAGAATTCAGGAACATTCATGTCTTGTCAGCTGGCCCGTACACTTCCAGGTGTCACATGCATGCCAGGGCTCTTGGTTTATGCGCATGTCTGCTGCCTCAGTCTGAATGACTGCCCGTCAGTCAGGAGCTTCTTACTCCTGGATTAGTGCAGCCCACAGTGTTCTGAAAGCAGCAGCAGAAATGAGCGTTACTGTCGAGGAGAGGGGCCGGCCCAACACCCTGGACTACAGAGTGTATTTCAGTAAGAACAGCTTTTTTATACATCTAGTATTTGTGTTGTTGAAAACTTTTAGTGTAATAGTTGCCAGCTATCTGGAAACTATTATGGCTGCATTAGCCAGTAGAGCTTTATGAAGAGATCTGGCCATTTGTAGCTCATCAGAATTTGTATTTCTGCTAAAAATGAATTACTCTTTTCCTTAGAAAACTCTGAGGGAAAATACATCTCTCCCTTCCATGACATACCCATCTACGCAAATGAAGCAGAGGTGAGCAGTGTCAAACTTAATGCTGCAGGTTTTTATTTTAAAAAGTAGAGCTGTATTTGTAGTATTTGTATTATAGAACTGTGTTGCTGGGGCTGTACTGTAGCCTTTAAATGTTTATTAAATCAACTTGTGTTGCAAGTCAAATGTTGTACACGTACCATTTGTAGTTTAAAAGTATCGTTGTACCACAGATTACCAAAATGAGATTTTACTATTAAACTTTAATTCTGAATTAGTAATCAGTAATGGCAAGATGGCTTCCCAGTACCACCTGGGGGCCATAATCAGTGTGCTACCTTAAATGACCTCAGGTAACTTTAGTTCAGGCAGACATTGGAGCCTTGTTGAAAAAAAGGTCACTTTGCCAATACGTATAATCACAATTATGTAGGCCTTACATAACTATAAAAATGGCATTGAAATGAATTTAACACATTTACAAGGATTCGTCCTGACGTAACAGTATTTCTTATAATCCTGCAGAATATCTTCCATGCTGTTGTGGAGGTTCCAAGATGGACAAATGCAAAGATGGAGGTATGCATATTTGCAAATGGGTACACTTAAGTTGATGAATAGTCCCCAATACTTTGTTGTCGTTGTGGAACTAATATTAGATGTTCTCTTTTCTTTTTTTAAATCAGATTGCCACCAAAGATCCTCTTAATCCACTGAAACAAGATATAAAGAAGGGGAACCTCCGTTATGTAGCAAATGTGTTCCCTCACAAAGGCTACATCTGGAACTATGGAGCTATTCCTCAGGTAACTAAGAGGATGTTCAGACAACAGGAAAACCGACCATATCCCCGCTCTTCTAACCTGAGCTTTCTTTTATCACAGACATGGGAAGATCCCAACCACAAGGACAGCGACACAGGATGCTGTGGAGACAACGATCCTATTGACATATGTGACATAGGAAATAAGGTACAACTGTCATTAGGGGCTTTGAAGAGACAGAGTTTTATTGAACCGTGTGTAGCGTTTCTTATTAAGAGTGCCTTTGATTCTCAGGTGTGCTCTCAAGGAGAAATTATCAAAGTGAAAGTGTTGGGAACTCTGGCTTTGATCGATGAGGGCGAAACAGACTGGAAGGTCATTGTGATCAATACTGAGGACCCCGAGTCTGCAGACTTTAACGGTATGAACAACCAACAATTAAAGAAGGACATATGCAGTTTAATAAGGTTTGCTGAATATTCAGGGTTTTGCTTTGTTATCGATTTGTTGCAGATATTGAAGATGTAAGACGACTTAAGCCTGGATACCTGGAGGCAACGTTTGATTGGTTCAAAAGATACAAAGTCCCAGATGGGAAGCCTGAAAACCAGTTTGCTTTCAACGGGGAGTTCAAGGACAGGGTACGCCTTTTAAGTTGTCACAGTACTTATGTTGTATTTTAAAACTGTTATAAATGTTTTTTTAATTTAAATGACTGATAACAGTATGTTCTTTAAATACATGTAACATTTCTGTATCAGGTGTGCTCAAATTAAAACACTTACAACCGAAAACAATTTACAAACGTAAAAACATTTTCAGAGGCAAAATTGTTATGACACTTTTTTTCTATAGCCCAACCTCTTTGGTTAATCAATCAATTTTATTTGTACCAGTTATATTGAAGGGGGAGGGGGAAAGGATGTCTATTGATTGTTGTGAGAAAAACAAATGTTTTCCAGGACTTTGCGATTAAAACAATCAAGGACACCCATGAGTTTTGGAAGGCACTGATTTCTAAGAATTCCAGCGCTGGAGAGTTAAACTGGTGAGTGCTTAACGCAGACATTCTATGAAGTAGAGCTACAATGAATAGACAAAACGACCAATCCATCAACCGGAACATTTTGACAATCTGTTGATCTTTAAAGTAGCAGCAAATCTCTCTGTTTAACACCTTTTTACTACAGATAATGTAATGATTTTGTGACTTTCTGTAAATAATTCCTTTTTTATTCCTTGAATCAGCACGAACACCGGTGTCTCAGATAGTCCGTTCTGCTGCTCTGCTGGGGATGCAGAGGCCGTGGTTAAATCTGTAAGTTTGTCATTTTCAAATGTATACAACCTCCTTTCGTTACTGAAATTCTAATATAAATATGATAAACAAAATACCCACAAATACTTAAATACTTGCCAATTTTTGAAAATATGGCTACCATTTGATTTCTTGAAAATGAAAAAAATAAAACTCAAAACACACCCAAAATGATTTCACAAATGTATCCAAAAAAATTATCCATTTCTCAAAATAACACTCTTTTATGACTACTTTCTTTTACAGGCATGTGCTTTTGGAGCTGAAGATCCCATTCCAACTTCAGGTGGGTGATTGTACGTTTATTTGTTTTATTGCAGGTACTCTATGTTTTAACTTGATGGAAATCACATACGTTTCTTTTATTTATTTTTTCCAGTCGACCAATGGTTCTACTATGAGAACTAAGAGGAAACTTCTGAGCAGAAACCATCATTCTTTACTTGACTTCTTTCGACACAACAGCGCAGTGCGGTAACTGGATGGATCGAATTTATGTTTCATGTCACATTTTCTTGCTTTTTTGTTCACACACTTATATTTCTGATGCTGTCAAAAAAGCTTTATGTGTGTTTGTAACTCAATATCTAGTTTCAAGCTTGACACAATAAACCATAATAAATCCCACTATATTGTCTATTTTATTTTGTATTTATTGCGTCTCCTACATATTGTCGATGTCAACATGATGTACGATTACCTAGAGAATAAGGATATAAAATAGATAGTAGCAATAAGTAATGCTTTGCTTGTTGAAATTTTTTTTTAAAACACTACTGCCTGCTGGCAATTCCAGTAGTCAGTGATCCAACATGTAAAAGCCTCTTAACAGTATAAATAAATGTTTTTGTAAGTCTGTGGCTGTAAGTGGATATGCACCATGGGGTGCTTCTGTAGGTTGCATTTAAACAGTATACTTCAATAAGCACTAGAGACCTTAGTTGTGTTAATAACTATGGCAACAACAGCTCAAAGGGTTACAGCCAGTATTACAACCAATACCTGAAATCATACCTGCTGTGATTGCCTGATGGTCTTTTTAAGTTCCTACTCGAGATCAAAGTTTTCAGCTCTAAATGTAGCTAAAGTAAAATGTGGTTCAATGTTGGAATGGAGTCTTTCTGAAAAGTAAATTAGTTACATTACATGTTACTTGTTAGTGTGGTGCTAAAAATGACCTCCAATTCAACTGACAACAGTAAAATACTGATTTGTGTATGCATGCAAGAGTATAATATATAATAATATAAAAGTTACAGGGGTTGTTTCTGCATCTAGTACTTGTAATACTTTAGTCATACTTACTTTCAGACAAGTAGCATTTTCATTTAACTTTTTTTAACAGTCGGCTTCTTTTTTTACAGTCTGGTATTAAAATGTTGTTCTTATGTAAAGGTTTCATGCCTGGCTCATCCAGTAATCTTCAGGAATGACTACAATACAACATTACTAATAATAAACACAATATAAGCATTAAGAATATTAATTTGGATTCCTGCTCATTCAGGCTTTCCTGGGTATTAAAGAGGACAAACCAGCCAAAAAAAGCTGTTAACTAAATATATATTAGTCTCTACAAATCAGAATCAAAAGGAAGGAAATTAATGGATTGGAAGGAAATAAGCGGGAAGACATTACGTGCCATTCAAAAATATAGTTGTTGTTATTAGAAATCTGAGAGGATAAAGAAAAGAGGATAAATGACAATCATGAATAGGTAACGAAAAGGACAATATCGACTGTGCCTTATAAAACGTATTGTAATATTAGCTTATAGATACATTTCAAACTGGTTTTGGTGATCAGTAGGCCTACCAAGTACCAGAAACATTAGAACATGTATCTTTGTTAAAGGAAAAACCATGGATGTGTAATAGGGAAAAACACACCAGAGAGCATGCTGTACACTGTAGGAGTTACCTGACACCAGGAGATGGCAGAAACCCAAAACTAAGGTTGCAAACAACCGCATACACACCACAGAAGAAGAGGAGGAAGAAGAATAATCAGAAGCGGAACTCTGACTGTTTCCAAGGAGACCACCAATACTACGGTCAGTACTGAGGGGTAAGTCAGCTAACGTTTGAGTAAAATAACATTATTTAGATGTTAACACACAATACAACATATTGTGCGCTTGACATCAGTTCGCTGTGGCTCTGCGAGGAGTCTGTAGTGCCCTGAACGGCAACCTGGCCCACAGGAGAACAGACCGGAGGTTTAACGTTAAGCTAACGCTAATGGCTACCTAGCTAAAAAGCGTCAATACCGTGCACACTGAAACAAGCTAAATACAAACACACATTTCTTTAACTCATTTAGTGTTCAGGGTAGTTAGGACATTACACTGTTGCAAATGCCATTTTATAATATAGTGGAAAGTTACGCTGTTAAATAATGTAGGTTATCGTTAGCTAACTTGGATGTCGATAACGGTTATAATGTACACAGGTGTTTGGATGCACATGCTTAGTTTGATCTGAACGATATATGAAGTCATGTGAATATTACATTTTGTCTATGTGAGTGGAGCTTTGGTGTCGTCATATAACGTTATCTCGGTGTGATGTAATGGTGTGGGAAAAACATACCTTTCTTATGGCAGACATGTTGACTTGTTCTACCAGGAAGAACACAGGTGGGACCGGCCTACCTAAATAGAGCACTGTCCTAATGCATGTGATCTATCACACCTGTGCCTTTTTCTGCTGTCACGGGACAAAATAATATATCTGTATACTAACTACTAACATACAATACACTGTGTTTTATGCTCAAAATAATTTTAGAAAACCTCACAATATTGGGTTTTTAATACAGCATCACAAACTATGCACTCAAGAATTAGCTACCAAAATCAATAAATACCTCAATGATAAAGTGTAAACATAGATTTAACTTTTTTTGGAGTGTTATGCGATTCTAATCTGACTTTTCTCTTGTTTCAGTCGAACACTGTCAAGATGTCGTTTTTATTTGACTGGATCTACAGGGGGTTTAGTAATGTTTTACAGTTCTTAGGTAAGTGCTGTCTGCAGTTTTGCAAACGTTTACAATTGGTGCTAAAGTGCAAAGTACAGTAAGGGCCTGATTAATATAACCCTAAATCATAAACCAATGTTATCTATAACCATGAGACTTTCTTTCTAAAATGCTGCTTTCAGGGTAGTGTTGAATTTCATTGCTTACATTTGTGGGTCATTTCTTCCAGGTCTGTACAAAAAGTCTGGGAAGCTGGTTTTCCTGGGCCTGGACAATGCTGGCAAAACAACGCTCCTACACATGTTGAAAGATGACCGGCTTGGCCAACACGTGCCAACCCTGCATCCAAGTAAGGAGACATTCAGATAGTAGTGAGCCATGTGACAATGTTGTATAATGAGTCTTACTGTAATTTACAGCCATTTTGTTCTCACTGTAACAATCACTGTAATAAAATCTTTCTCTCCTTTTTTTTAAAGCTTCTGAAGAGCTGTCAATTGGTGGGATGACATTTACTACATTTGATCTAGGCGGACATGTACAAGGTGAGATCTTCATACACTTGATCACAAAATATAGAAATAGTACTATTTTACCTCTCCAATAGATTTTGGTGGAATATAACATCAATCCATAAAGCTGGTGGTTTTCTGATTGTCATTTAAGATTCATTTTAGAATTAGTTTGTATAGGTTGTTATTGTTAGTCCCAGCTCTTGACTATATTAATGTGAGGTAGTGGAAATATCAAATAATACAAGTTATTGTCAGTTAAAGACCATAAGATTACTGAGTCTTTTAATCAATTGCCTCCTTGTTGCCTTAACTATCAATAATCTGTACGGCCATCAGAAACAGTTGGGAGTAAACAGAAGCAAGTTGACCAATCACAGTTCTCATGGCTGCCACAGGGTGTCTCTGGAGCCCCTGCAGCTCTCACATGTGATATTTTGAGGGTTTCAAAGCAGCTCTGATGGAATAACTGAACCTAAAATAAAGCGTACTGAGGTTGAACCAGTGCTGCAGAGAACGTACATACAAAAAATGATGTACTTACCTATTAGATTATGATATTGATGAATACATTATTTTACGCGGTTAATCACTCTTTCTGATATGTTACAGTAAAATTATAAACCAATAGTTTCCTTGTATCGTAGTCAAGATAGAAATATATAAAAATCCTAAAAAAGACCTTCTGTGTGTGTTCATTTACTTAAAGCTATTCACTTTATAACCCTCATACACTCATTTATAAAGATTGTGTCACTTTAACATGGTACACAGAGGCAATACAAGGACACAGCTCAATTCCACCGGTTTATAATGAAATTGCTGCATCACAAGCTGTGGAGGGCATTCACTCACATATTCAATTGCTGCGAGGAGAGCTATTTCACAAACAGTTTTCCCTTTGCTGACAGCTCGAAGAGTGTGGAAGAACTACCTGCCGGCTGTGAATGGAGTCGTCTTTCTTGTCGACTGTGCGGATCACGACAGGCTCTCAGAATCGAAGACTGAGCTTGATGTGAGATTTTAACTTCACAAGCTGTGTTCCACCGGACTGCCTGCTAAGTGTTCACTGACGTTGATTGTGCTGCTCTCTTTTCTCCAGGCTCTTCTCGGAGACGAAACCATCGCCAGTGCTCCAGTGTTGGTGCTGGGGAACAAAATCGACCGCCCTGAAGCCATCAGTGAGGGAGCACTGAGAGGGGCTTTTGCTCTTGATGGTCAGGTTACTGGAAAGGTAGGCATGTGTCATAGATTTTAATTCACAGAAATCCTAGGATCTCTCTGTGTCCTGATGGGCGTCTTCCTCCTTTATGTGTGTCTCCACAGGGAAGTGTCTCTATGAAGGAGCTGAACGCGCGGCCCCTGGAGATTTTCATGTGCAGTGTGTTGAAGAGACAAGGCTACGGGGAAGGTTTCAGATGGTTATCACAGTACATCGACTGACACTGAAGCTTACCCAGGAGGGATTTTCTTGACACATTTTTTTTTCACAAAGCACGACAAAGACTTTGTGTCTTTGCCAGTGTCAATCAGACCACATCCCAAACTTAGATCATGTTAAAAGCGTATTCTTTATAATACTTTATTCAGGATTTAAAGGTTTCTATGCAAAAACTTTTAAAAGTGGCTCACGGTGAATTGTCCCACCTGTGTTGTTATTAATGTGAGTTGTCGAACTCTACGGCATGTTAATTAGGTTACATCCAGCAGACATACATTATGCAAGACTGTAGATACAGACACATTAGTGTTGCATTATTTAATGAGGAATAGACCAACAGATCTAATGGTATGTAATAGGAAGGGATTGGTATTAAGTGCTCAGTGGTGATTGAGTTTGGTAGATTAATGCTCATCTGCTATCAGATTAAAGATGGTTGTGTTTAGAATCTGAAATACATAACTAAATAAAGCAGAAGAGTCGTTTTAGGATGTTTCAACTAATGATATGCAGCCACTGCCTTCAAAGCACATAGCCAAAGATGTATGCTAATAACTTTGGGATAAGCAGGGAGAGAGATTGGATTTCAACAACAGATATCTTCCCCGCTGAGCACTGAGCCAAAATAACATCAAATCCCCCAAAAGCGGAAGAGACAGCCCATGCCACAAATAAAGGCAAGGATGATGAATAAACAGAGTCAAACTGAACAGCTCACTGATGAGCGTGCTGTGAAAATGTGCCTCTCACTTTCACTGTCTCGATGGAAATAGCTCGTTTATTTTTTGCATCTTTTCCTAAACGTGTTGACCCAGAGGGACGCTACATGTTGAAGGCAGCTAATTTGAAATGTGTTAGTCGGACTGAGATAAGTCTTCATTATCTTTGACTCGAAGATAAAACGTTCACACCGAGCTTTTATGACATTCCGTGGCTCCCCTTGCTTTAATATATGATTAAGTCTGTCATGACATTGCTTTAAAAATGTCTGGAAGCAATAAAGTAGAATGATTAAGTGTACTGTCGCAGAGACAATCTTACTCCTCCTGTATTTGAGAGTAGGAAAGTTATTCTGAGCCCATTAATTGTAACGATATATTATTATTTTGTATTAATTCCTTTTAATCCACAGCCTGAGCAGTTTGTCTGCATGTAATCAGCATGTAGGCGGTTCAGCAGTGCTGCAGGTAATGTACTTTTTGACTATCTGAAAAGATATGAGAGTGCATTTGCTAACGTGCTAAATTAATATTCTTATTCTGGATGCTTGAGTCTTTGTAAACATGCATACACCTTTACAACACCCTGTGTAAATGTGTATCCACATGAAAAGCTGGAAATGGATTATGTGGAACAAACGTTTGATTCGCATTAACCGTTTCCTGCATCATGTTTACAGAGTAACGTTTGGAATGATCTGCTTATTTATTTATGCAGGGATGTTTGTGACCATGATAATAAGAACAACTTTTTTTGTTTACAGGGAGTCTTTAATGTGTATAGAATGCATGTAAACAAACAGCTTTCCCTTTGAACAGTGTTCTGTACCCGTTGCTATACTCCTGTAAATGATGTATAATACAGATGTAAATGTTTGTACAGTAGCTGCATATTAGCCGCCACTAACAAAGCACTGGATTTATTTATAGCAGATTAATTAAAAATTATATTTGCTGCAATTATCTGTGCAAATAGTTTGAATGACATAATGCATACATGCATATATAGTGAGGAGTTGTTTACATGTTGTAATAAAACAGACCTTGTTTTGGACTCATGTGTCATGCCATGTGTCATTTTGTATTATAACCTCAATTAAACCCCTGTGGTTAAGATATGTGTATTTTCATTTAAAGGTCCCCTATTATTATATTTTTCAACAATATATTATAGGTCTCAGGTTTATACAAAACATGTCTCTGAGGTGTTTGGCTCAAAAATACCAAACAGATCATTGCAGCATCCCATAAACCCCTCTGTTTCAGCCCTGTTTCAAAAGTGCTTGTGTCTGTAGCTTTAAATGCTAATGAGCTGCTGCTGGCCACGCCCCTCTGCCAAGTGATTGGTTTGAAAAACACAGAAAATGTTGCTTTAGGAGGAGATTCAGGTGATAAAGTGGGCGGGTGTTACCTTGGTTGGTTATTGCTTTGGTTGCACAAGCCAACAAATACATTCTGACATCACAAAGGGGCCAAAGTGACAAAAAGAGAGAATATTTTTTCCTGAAACGTTCCCTATCTCTCTACACAGAGGGGACACATGTTTATGTATAAAAGACATGAAAAAGTGGATTATGCATAATAGCTGACCTTTAAGTTCCACCTTATAGTCACTCTTTAGCGCTAACACTTTGTCACAGAGACTATAAAGATAATTAATCCGTTTCACCTTTTCATGCTTAATCTGTCACGGAATGCATTTAATTAGGTTTTTCTTTTGACTAAAATGTCATCGTGTAAACAAATCTCTCCAAAGGACAACATAAACACAGAATAATTATGTTGGTATATTGGTTAAAATAGCAAGAAAAACTAAAACATTTGATAGATACTGATACATTCCAGTTCTATGTTACTGATACATGCTTTTTCACGTTGACATTAAAGTACAAAAAATATGTTAACATTGACTGTGATTAAACGTTAAATACATATTTAAAGTCAAAGTCAGGATGGTTCTTCAGTAATGTTGGAGTATTTTTGGCTAAAATGTTACTTTCATTCTTAGTCATTGATGCTTTTATCTCCGGGCTTGATTATAATTTGTTTTATTGCAATATCAACCAACAGCAGTTATCACAGAGGGCTGCTTCCAGGCTTTCAACACCCTCCAAGAAGTGACCTCATTACTCAAAGTCCCTGCTGTCCTTTACTGGCTTTCTGTCAGTGTAGAAATTACTTTTAGGCTCTTACTGCTGGAAATATCCCCAGGACTTTTACTGTGACTGTACGATTGCACTTAGGTCAACTGGCACATATCCATGCTTTGCAGATTTGATCATCCACATGCCCTCTGACAGTGTTGTCTTTCACATCGTGGTCATTACGTGGGATGCTTTCTGGCAGCCGCTCTGCTGTAATTTGTTCTTCTAGCATGAGGTGGCAGCTGAGCTCCAGAGTATCTCCAGCAAATACCTCCATCTGCTTGTTAAAGAGTCAACTGAGAGGAAGCTGCAACTTCTTCTTGTTTTTATTCCACTGCAGGTTTCATGATTGTACATGATGTAATGATCCTTATTGAATACTTGGGTAATCATATTTAATAGCAGGCTGTAATTGGACTTAGCTGTGAGAAGCTTCAGTATGTATTGCTTCACACACCAGGCTGGAGACCCAAAGGTCGTAAGGAAGTAGTTTTGTTCTCCAAAATAATCATAATTACACAACTAGCTTGGGATTTATAGGCATGGCTGTGGGAGCGTTACTGAAAATGGAATCAGTTTTAGCACCCTAGCTGAATTTGAGTGGATCTGCTGAGGTGTCAACGTAATTTCTCTCCGGGTGATAATAGTAGGAACAGATCGAGGTCAACATACATTTTGGCTCCAGTGCCTTTATTAGTAAAGTGCTCAGCCTAGAAGTACATTCTTATTTACTAACATGCAATACTAAAAACAACCAAATGTCTGGTCTATCAATAGCATGAATGAAGACATGACAACAATATTCTCATAGAAAAAAAAGTACAATGTGAATTCAAGTATACACACATAACTTCAAGTAATGCACAATTTTTTTTATATAATTATATATATATATATAAACACAAAATACAGTTTTGTCAAGTTGCAAACTCATAATAAACATAGTTGTGGCACATTCTTTGACATGACTTCAGCAACTAGTGGTTTCAACTGTAGGTGCAGTTTGGGCCATTTAAGTACATTCTACAGGTTCTCAATAAAAGTCAACCAACTTGAAATGTAGGTCCTGTGTAGGTGAGCGTATCCGCTTACATCCTAAAGCATGTACGTTTTAAAAACTGCTATGAGCTATGGAGCATCTTTATCACAAATGGAAACCATAGTAACCGTAAACCCTCTAAGCTCGCTTCACAGATCATTTCCAATGGACTAATATACAGAATCAGTCTGGACATACATCATCACATTGCATTAAACGGCTTTAACGGAATAGTTTGACATTTTGGGAAATATGCTTTTATACGATCTATTTAGAGAGAGATGAAAAGATCAATACAACTCTGTCTGGACACTCATCCACAACCAGGAAACACCAGCTGCAATAATGATTGGCCTCTTAAGGGCAGCCGAAACAAATGAACACAACAGTGACGTTTGATTCAAAGACTGAACCGAGGAGAAAGTGATAACCTGGCTCTGTCTTAATCAAATGTGCTTGCCAGCAACTCTTAATCTCCATTATTAACTTTGATTTATCTTGTTTGTTTAATCCGTACATAAACTGTAAAAACAATATACATTTGTATATTCACAATGTAGTTATTGTATGAAATAAACCACTGAGATAAAAGATTAGTGGGCTTTAGAAGTTTTGGCTGGTCTGTTTTGTTGTTGTGTTAAAATTAGGTAACCGTTTCCCTCTATTTCCAGTCTTTATGCTAAGCTAATCTTAGCATCTCATTGCTTTAACTTCAAATACAGGATGCTAGCGAGGCAAGAAGTTTTCCTAAAACTCTCGACAAGAAAGCAAACAAGCATTCCCCCAAAATGTCAGTCTTATCCTTTAAAGTCTGATCTCTAGTTGTTCTAGTGGGACGGCAGCTCTAATAATCAAGCAGTTGTTCACACATTACAAAATGACTGGTAATCTCTATGCATAGATGGCGGTCGGACAGAGAGGGTTTCTGATGCGTTTTAACTACCTATGGTGCAGGAGTCAGTGGGTCCTGCTTTGAAGGACGGCAACACAAAATGCTATGTTGCTCAAAAAAACAGAGACAAGAGAATGAAGCAATTACACATATCTAAGACAAAAACTGGTCATCGTCTCATCCCTGGACCTGCCGAGCACCACATATCCCCCCGGGATGAAACACAACTCCATGCCTCCCCTCGTCCAATCCCAAAATCTTTATCTGTGAGGAGAGAGCCGTCCCTGCAGAGTTTCAGGCCAGCGGCGGTGACTCGGCTCTCTGCGTGGGGTCACACAGTTCTACCAGATGTATCCTCCGTCGTCAGCCTCGCCCTCCTCCTCTTCCTCCTCCTCTTCTGCCTCCTCTCCGGTGTCGTCTGCCTCCTTCTCCTCTTCATCCTCCCATCCCACTCCACTTCCAAAATCTCCAGAATATCCTGCCACTTCATCTGTAAAATGATTAATACATGAGGAATAACTTTGTATTTTCTGCTAACAACATTTCTTCTGGAGCTGAAAAATGAAGCCAAACTGGAAGCTGGCTCAAAAGTGAGTCAATTCCTATACCCCCATGTTAAAAACGCAACTTTACAGCAGAATAAAAAAAGACAGTTTTGGTTTTTTAGCCTTTAGCTATCTTCCCTCTTTCTTTCTTACAGGTGGTATAATAAAAAAAAAATTGCTTTTCCAACAATAAAGCAGGGGAAATTGTTCTAGTAAAAAAAAAAAAATGCAAGTATGAACCTTAAAATGTGCCTTATACTGTATGTAACCTTTAAAAAAGGAATACCTAAAACACAATACATTGCATTGGAAACAAGATTAAATCTCACAGCACTTCTAACTAAATATTCATGTTTTTAAGAAAATACAACCGCAGGGTCTCAATAACAGACAGAACATAACTTTGAGAATAGGAGACGTCATGCTGGTTACACTGTGAAAATATCTGTTTGCCTAATCCCCCCTCTCTCTTACCACAGTCTGGGTTGCCATGGATTCTGGTGCCCATCATCTCTCCACCATGCTGGTCCACACACCAGCACTCCCCTCGGCTCTGGTCACACTGCACTTTCCTGTAGTAGCCGTCCTCGTCGCAGCTGGGAATGTACATCCCTACACACACACACACGCACACACGCACACACGCACATACACGCACACCTTGCTGTTAAATATTTATACTCTCAGCTTACAAAGCTGCCTCATGCTGGTGCTTGAGATGAGCCAGCATAAACTAGAATGCCAGCACGCCTTAGTGAACCTGTGATAAAACCATCAGTCAGGGTAGATATTTGGGAGAGAATACCGGGGAGACAGAGGAAGCGTCCCTGTTTGTTTTACACAGGCATGCATATGCTGCTGGATGTGATTTCATTCAGCTTGTTGGTGTTTCCTTATGCTGCAAGAGTGGCGTGTGAAAATGTCGTGACAGCCTCGCTGACAGAGCGCCACTGTTCCAGCCTCCCTCAGGAGACTCTTGTCAAACCCAAAGAGAAGTTCTCTAACAAGCTCCCTCCACTACCGTGAAAACTAGAAGAAACACCAGCACTGAGACGAGTGGGCCTTGGGGATGGAGGAATATATATCTCTGGTTTTCAGGCTGAATAGTGAACACAGATGTGTGGCATGCTGGGTAGATACAGGTTTCTCAGAGAGCCAAACGGGAGTTAGCCTCGCTCTTCCCTAAAGCCGGCGCTGCCCTCTAATCCCCCCCCCCCGGCCTGATTAGGACCTAATCCGGGCGTGCGCTTGTGATCTATTAAATGAGCCTCCTCCAGCTTCTCGCTTGCTGCTCCAGGCCGTGTTACGTAAACACAAAGACATGGAGCGAGTGCGGGGGCACACGCCGGCATGATGTTGCACTTTAAGGCTAACACTATGGCATTGTGTGGCTTTGAAGGGATCTGACGCGAGTCCAAAAGGTGTTCCTACGCA